CGTCCTTCATCCAAAGGACTTCATCAATCCAAGGAGCCACAAACAAGCTCAGTCCCACAAGCAGCACACTCCCAAACTACTGCACTTCACCACTTACCCTTGTTGAGGGCGGATGCTTCCCTCCCACTCTCCCTACTCCACTTTGCTTTTGCTCTGTCCTTTTTGTGAAACTGCTTAAGAGCCTCTCTATATATATCTTCCGAAAGGTAATTTATCTCAACTTGCCTGGAGGCCCTGTAAATTTGATGCTCTGCCCCTCCCACCGAGGAAGTCTGAGGATCTATCAGAGGGACCCAGCTGAATAAACATTGTGTCATTTTAGGACTCTTGGTTTCTCTCTGGTGCAGTCCTAGGTCAATTTCGGCACCGTCGAGAGAGTTTAGGGAGGGAACGGACTGATTGTACCATTCTTATCAGAACTCAGTGTCTCTGGAGTGTCCTTGACATGATCACCGCTCTTGTCATCTCCCCTGCGGAATGTCTACGTCACTATGTGCCGATGCACGGGGTGTTTTTATCAATATCAGGCTCTCTCTCCTCGGCCAAGGAGTGAGAGTTGGATAGGATTATTTTTGCCTCCAAATCCTATACATGTTGTTACTTTCATCACTTTTTGTCTGTCTAAACAAATCTCACTTGTAAATGAATCTTCGTGGCTCAATGTGATTTATCTGTGTAAATAAAGGATGAATGAAAAACTGGGGTGAGCTTTGATGGGAGTGAGCTGCTTGTGGGACTGAGTTTGTTTGTGGCTCCTTAGATTGATGAAGTCCATTGGATGAATGGTGAAACGTCTCAACAACAACAAAAAGAAACCGTCCAGATGACCTGACTGAACGTAGTTGGATTTTTTTACCTGGATTATTAAGCATGAACTTTGATTCTTTTACATCTACTTGCATATTTAAATAGAGATGTGTCAGGAGACGTGTCTGACGTGCACTCAGTTCCATGTTTATCAAGACGAATGAAGGAAAGTGAGCAGAAACATGAGTGTGCACAGTTTGATAAATCTGTATTTTTCTGTGTGCACTCACGTTTCACATTTTGTCCCAATGGCATCTTTCAGTGTAAAAGCTACTGTCATGATCAGCGGTCTCCGCCTGCCCCCCATCTGCTCACGTCTCTGCCTCTTCATGTCATGATCACATCCTCTGTCCCCTGCCTCGCTCACAGCCCCTCATGTGGTTTCTGCTCTTTCATGTCATATTTCTGCCCTGTCATGCTCTGCTCTCAAGCTTTGCTTCTCTGCCACACACACTCTGCGCTGCAGCTCAATCAGCACTCTGGCTCTTCACCTGTTTCTTGCTCTACATAAGCCCCAAGCTCTCACTCATCCTCGGCCAGATTATTATACCTGTTCATAGTTCCTGATATCCAGCCTTCTTGTTTCACGCCTGATGTTCACGCCTTGCTTGTTTTGTCTCGACCCCACACCTGCCTTCGGGACCTCCTGCTTTGCCTGCTCCTAGTCTGCTCTGCTCTGCCCATCTGACCCAGGTGATGACTACTTCTTCTGGGTTACGGTTTGCCCCTTTTGGATTTGTTCTTGGATCTCTGACTCTCTGTGTTTGACCCCTGCTTCGCCCTTTGGACCACGACCCTGCGTTGTCCCGTTGTTCACAGCATTAAAGGCCTCCCTCTGCAGCTGCCTTTTCATCAATTACAGTTATGTCGTCACTTCAAGCTCCAACAGGTGGCTCTCACCCCACCTGCCTGTGAAGACGAGTTCCTGCAGCTGCAAAACAACAAAGTTGTTTTTATTTGTTTCACTCTTGTTGTCTGGCTGATTCTGAATCCGAAACCCGACACTTGATAGCTACGCTCTTTCAAACATGAAGCTCCAGGTGTGCAGCTGCATCCTGATGCAAAACATGGAAATATGAATATTAAAGATGAAATGACAGGTTTCACTATTGTTGTTTAGATGAAATGTAAATCTTAGAGGCTGCAGATAAAAAAGCCAATTGTTGTTGGATTGACATTTCACTTAAACCCAAAGAGGTAGTTCTTCAGCTTCCTTTTTTTTCTAGTTCTTTTTTCTATTATGATTCCAAACAAAATATTTTTCTGTTTGCACGCATGTCTTGTGAATTCATCAAATGTTAAGAGGAAGAGGAAACGTGTGTTTGCTCTTTATAAACTGTTTAGTTCAGTCCCGTCTTTAGCAGTTTTTATCTGCGACTCTTCAAGATGGACGTAGACGATGGTGCTTCAGTGATTTATGAAAATACTCAACATGAAAACGGTAAAAACTCCCGGTTAACATTTTATGATGCGACAGATTTAAATTTGATTTTCAGTCAACAGTCATTTGGGAATTAATTTGTTGAAGGCAAACATTTATTTTATCAAACTGGGTTTAATTTTGTGTCTGTCATGGATTTAACTCAACAAATAGAAACAAACTGGGTCTTTACAGATTAATTTTTAATTTTTTCAGAGACAAAACAGAAGACAAACATTAACTTTGCAGTAAAATCTACAGAACCTGCTGCCAAGAATTCACCAAGTAAGTCCTCTGGATTTTTTCTGTTTGTATGTAGAGGTTCTAGATTTGTGTTTAAATACAGAATATTGCTACAATATTTAGTTTAAAGATTCTTCTTTTGTCAGATTTGGGATGAGGTTTATGAATTCATTAATGATTCTGTTTGGTCCAGTTTGAATAATAAAGTCAAGGATTAAGTTTAATTTCTTTTGTCACTTCAGAAAATATATTTTGGGATATATGGGAAGCTCCTCAGGTCAGGTCCAAATATGGACCTGAGTTTAAACACATTAGAACGCCTGGTTCAGCAGAAAGCCTCCACACATGCTCACATCTTCACTACTGTTACTGTGACACAGAAAGATTGTTCTCAACACGTGTTTAATTTATTTAAAAAGATTTAAAAAAAGAAGAGACAGTTTCTATGTAAGTATAATATTATTACTAATGGCTGTGCTGTTGTTTCCAATCAGACGGTGAAGCAGCAGCTCGCTCTCACTTTCACACTTTCGGTGTGTTGATGTTGTGTTTTGGGATATTTTGTGTCCTCCTCGTGGCCAGAATCATCATCGTCAGTCACAGTGAGATCTTTTTCCACAAACTCAACTTTAAGAAGATCTTTTAGGACAATTCAACGAGTGTGAGACGTTCTATCTTCTTAGAATCTTATATCAGTTTCTTGCATCAGTTTTCAGCACAAGTCATTCTTGTAGATGAACAGAAGTTCTTCCTCGTCAGTCTTTATCAGAGACAATTAGTTCATCAGATGAGACAAAGACAGTCGGGAGAAGATTGTTAGCAAAATATGTCTCCATGGTAATTGCGAATGACAATAAAAGTAATTGCACAATTCCCGGAGCCGGATTGGTTGTTTTGATATTTTTGTGGGGGTGGACGCTGTGGTTTGGGCCGCATTAACGGAGATAGAAATATAGACTCTCTTCTGAGGAGTAGAATAATAGGTGGCATGCAAATGCATGGAAGGCACCTATTATCACGTATTATTATTATTAATTAGTAATAATAATATTTAACATTAATGTTGATTTTAATAATTATTAATATAATAACAAACACTAATATAAATTATTACTAATAATATTATTAATATCTATATTAATATCAATAACATATTAATAATTATTAATATTAATAATGAATAATTAGTATTATCCTGATGGATGCTCAATAATACAAACGAGTTAAATCTGATCCTGTGCAAAAAAAGTAGAAACGTTTTGCCTTTCATCCAAAAGACTTCTTCAGTCTGAGGTGCTGTATTCAGCTCAGTCTTATAAATTAGTATTAATATTAATAATACTATTCATTATTAATAATAATTTAATAATAAATAAGCAGTCTTGATTCTTTCCTGAGTGTCAGTTAACTTACTCCTCTTTCAATGATAATGCGGCCCGAACCACAATCTGTACCTCAACAAATGTTATATCAAAGCGACCAGCTCGGCCCTGTTATGTGTGCTATTACTTTTATTGGCAATCGGAGTTACCATGGTGATGCATTTTGCTAACAAACACACCTAAATTCTTCATAGGAAATGAATGAGAGAGCACTCCTCACACTAACTGCTGCTGTCAAGTCGAACAAACAGGTTCCTGATGAAAACAGAAACAAACTGTTGGATTTGGTTGAAACTCACAGAAAGTAATCTTCAGATAAATGTCTAGAACTGATTGGGTTTTGGAGCCATTTGGATCCAAGATGGCTGCCACGGCTACCTCAGCAAACACAAAATTGTCACAGTCTGTCCCTGAGCTGTCTGGTATTTCTGTCTTCCCCTTTTCTGCTTATTGTGTTTGTCATTCTGCTTTTTTTTACTTCTGTGTGATTCTGTTCCTGATTCTGTTTTCTGTCACTTTCCACTCACTCCTCAGCCTTTATCGTTCACACCTGTCTCTCATCAGCCACCTGCCCAGGTGCTCTCATCCCTCACGCTCCCTCTGTTTTATAAAAAGCCTTTCTCTCCTCCACTCATCGTCCGGTCATTGTTCTGTTCTGTACAGACACCACAGCCCCCCTGTCTGATTTCTGAGTTCTGTCCGAGTCAGTACCCGTCCTGTTTCGCCTGCCTGGTCCTGTTTTTTTTTTATTTTTTTTTGCCTGATCTCAGGTTTTTATTTTAAACTCCTGCTTTCGCCTTCCTGCCTGCAAATGGGTCGAAGACTCGAGGATTGGGTCAAAACTTGACTATAACTCAACCATTTTTAGAGCTATCCAGCTGAAACTTGATATGGTGGTAGCTGAGAGCGAACACAAACAACTTTAATATCAAATCAAGAATTTAACTCGGCAGCAGCCTGGCAGTCTCCGTCAAAGTTTCTCCAGGAACTTTCTAGTTAACTAATATCCTTTAACTGCTTTATTGTTTAAATATGTACAGCTGAAATAGATTATTAACTATTTATTAGTAATTTATAAGGGTACCCTTATAGTTAAGTGATATACATGTTTTTACTAAATAATTAATTGGTGTCTCTTTTGTTCAGTGATGATGCTGATGAAGCAACAGGAAGACAACAACAAGACGGTGACTGAGAAAAACACAAACTTAACAATTTACATTCAACAGCTACACGATGAAATCAATTATTTAATGAATCGGACTCAAGAGTTGACCAAAGGAAGAGACGACCTTAACTGGACGCTGGAATTCATCCTGACCTTCGACACGTTTCCAGTAAAAGACTTCTGTCGCAACAAAAGTAAGTTCTTTTCTACGAGGAGGAGACAACTTCAACTTTTCTCAGAAATCTCATAACAGCTGCTTTAACAAAACAGTCCATCCATCCATGCATCCATGCATCCATCCATCCATGCATCCATCCATGCATCCATCCATCCATGCATCCATCCATCCATCCATCCATCCATAAATCCATGCATCCATCCATCCATGCATCCATCCATGCATCCATCCATCCATCCATCCATCCATGCATCCATGCATCCATCCATCCATGCATCCATCCATGCATCCATTCATCCATCCATCCATCCATGCATCCATGTATCCATCCATCCATGCATCCATCCATTCATGCATCCATGTATCCATCCATCCATCCATCCATCCATGCATCCATCCATCCATCCATCCCTCCATCCCTCCATCCATTGGCTTTACCCGCTTCTTCATTTTTGGGTCGCGGAGGTCACTGGTGCCCATGTCCATCCATCACTGTACGAGAGGTGGGGTACACCCTGGACAGGTCACAAGTCCATCGCAGTGCCACACAGAGACAAAACAACAAAACAGTCCACGACATAAAATAAATGCTAAGTGAACGCTGAGCGCCGGGTAGCTGCTGAAGTTTGCTCAAGAAGCTGAAACAGGGAGGTTAAAGTTTAAAAAACAGAACAGTCGCTGTAAAAAAGTAGCTTCATGCTATCTAAAATCAGCAAAAGGTTAGCTAAAAGCAAAACCTAGCTGAAGGCTAGTTCAAAGCTGAAAGCACAAAATTATTAGCTAAAGGCTAAATGTAGCAGGTAGCTAATTTAAAGCTAAAATTAGCTAAATGTTTGTTAAAAGTAGCAAAAGCTGGTTCAAAAATGAAGCAGAAAGGATTTTCTTTTTGATGAATTTTTTTATTTTTGTTTATTTTAAATGAATGAACAAATAAAAATAAATGTAGCAGATGTCTAGTTTAAAGCTAAAAATAGATAAAGGTTAAAGTCATTAAAGGCTACATTAAATAAAGTAGCAAAAGTGTAGCAAATTGCAGCAAAATATTAGCTTAAAGCTAAATGTAGCAGCAGACTAGTTCAAAGCTAAAAGTACTAAAATATTAGCTAAACGTAGTAAATTGCTATTTTAAAGTAGCAGCAAAAGGTTAGCTAAAGTAGCAAATAAGTAGAAGCAGAAGAATAGCTAAAAATAGCAAAAGGAAAGCTAAGAGCAGGAAAAGTTTATCTAAGAGTAGCAGAAGGTGAGCTAAAAGGAAAAAGTAGCAGAACAGTAGCTAAATCCTGCTGACTCAACATTCACATTAATAAAATTATCCAAAACAAACAGTTTTAATAGTTTTCCAGCAGCTGACTGAAGACAGATCAGGTTCTGAGGTTTATTTCCAATAACTTTTTATTTTGTTTTAAAGCAGCTCCTCTGGGAGGATTTTAAATTTTTCATTGTTTGTTTTTATTATTTTTGCTGAGCTAACATCATCAAGTCATTTTTATTCAGGCATAAAAATTTTGAAGATAATAAAATTAAAGGCATTTATGATTTTTTTCACCTTTGTAAATAATATTTTACTGGTGGCTCTTAATTTGAACATAGCTTTAACCATTTTTTTTAATTTAATTTAATGAACCCAGGATGTCAGCCGTGTCAGAACAGCTGGGTTCTGTTCCAGAACAAGTGCTACCTGTTCTACAAAGGTGCATCTTTTAAAACCTGGGAGGCAAGTCGACAGTTTTGTCAAAACCAGTCTGCAGATCTGGTTGTTGTTGAGAATCTGCAGGAACAGGTGAGCTCTCAGACCAACATTACAACTTTAACTACAAACAGTACTTTTAACATTCTGAACTAGTTTTATTGTACTGAGATTAAAAAGTGTACATGTTTCTGATGCTCTGCATGTTTTAATTGACAGGAGTTTATCAGTAATAACACAGAGCCCTACTTGGACAATATTCATGGATACTGGTTGGGGCTGCGACAAATTAACAACAGCTGGGTCTGGGTTGACGGACATAACGACACTTTGGAGTAAGAGAATTAAAAAACTGGAATCTTTTTATTCCACTGTCATACTGCACTGTGAATATTTGGGGTTTTAATTATTCTTAAGGTATATAACATTTCATTACACTATTTTATTATTTATAAAGGTATGAACAATTTATTTTAATTAACTTCAGATGTTGTTGGTAACTGATCCTCCTCTGAATAAAACCTCTTTAAATAAAAATACAATAAATCAAAATCTGAGTCTTTACAGGTGATTCTTTGATTTTAAGTTTTTTAATTTGCAGTTACATTTAAATATTCTGCTGCTGCATCAGTTTTCTAAGATCAAACATCAAATGCAGAACAAAAAAAAAATTAAATGAATTGATTTATTTTAATTACATGGACATGATCAAAATTATTGTTACCCTTTCATTCAAGAACAAAAATCCACATAGTTGACTGAAAAACAAATAAATATAAAAATTAACTGACAAGTGACAAATAAAACTACATCCAAACTACAAACACAGGACGTTAATTATTAGAATAATTAATATTTTGATAAAAAACAAACTTGAAATTTAAGCAACCTTTTTTTTATATCTGTGCTCTAATATCTTTTTAATATTATACCTGATGAATTTTTATATTTATTTCTTAATTTAAATAAAGCCATATGTTTTCAGCTTCTACAGTCATTTCTAAAATATCTTCTATTGAATGATGATGATGTAATAAGAAACTTCTTCTTGTGTTTCTGTTGCATTTTCAGGAGCAAATAATAATAAAATGTGATTTACAACCTGTCAGATGTTTGCTGTTGTTTCTGTATCAAACTGACTCTTTTTCTGTTTATTTTCTGCTGCAGAAGTTACATGAAGATTTATTTTACTTTATAATGTTTGTGTTTTTTTATTTACAGGTACTGGGTGACAGCAGAGATAGGTGCAACTGGTCCATATGTTCTGTTGATGCCTACAGGTCCAGATATTAACCTGAAACTCCCCAAGAGGGAACTCACAAAGACCTGGGACAAAGGAGATTCTCTGTATCAGCTCAGATTTATCTGTGAGCGTAAAGTTCTGATAAAGTCCAATTAGTTATCAGAGTTCATCTTTTGGTTTGAGTTCACTTTTGATTTTTGTCATGTTTGTTGTACGATGTTGAGACAAACATGATCTTTTTCCTTTCTGTAGCTGATGATTCTGTGTCAAATGACCAGAAGCTGATTTTAACATTTAAGATTTTTTTTTGTACATTAAATGATACTGAGTCCTCAATATGTACAAGAACTGCAAACCTAAATGTTTATACTTTTAATACATTTACATCTGATCACTTTGAATAACGTCAGTTTGATTTGAATTGTTGCCTTTTCACAGTGAATGTAATTTCTCTGAGTTTAGTTGTTTTTAAATGATCTTACTAAGTATTTCAAGAGACATTTATTTAAAGAGAAAAAGTAAATAAACTAAATTGGACAAAGACGTAGATCTTTTTATTCTTCCAAGGTGTTTTCATCTTCCGCGCTCCCAGTCGTTTCTGTGCACAGCTGCTTTGATAACATCTGGACAGTAATTGGAACCTCAGACAGGAGAAGGCATTGATGAGTGTGTTCTTGTAAATGCATTGATCTGCTGTGAATTGTTGGCTGTTCTCCAAAGCTTTAAAAAATAATGAAACCTGATTGTTTGGGAATCTTTATTTTCCACGACAAAGGTTCTACATGTTCACATGCACACACGTCACACCATCAACACAATTATTCATGTCAGGGCAGAAAACATTAGGCAGCATTAGAAAGGTTGCACACTTATTGTTGCGTGGTTCTCCAATGACAGACGTTCAGAGGCGGCACAGTGACCGAGCTGACATCACTACAACCTGAAGAATCACTCAGAATCACAAGACCTTAGTGAGAGCTTCAATGCCGTGAGCTCCTCACTACATCTGATACTGCTATCAGTCCACAATAGTTCTGAGCACGTCTAAACCTCTTTAGAGGGGCGGTGGTTGTTGAGCATGGTGGTAGCAGCGTATCGGGGTCCTGGGGTGAACTTGGTGGCAGTGTATCCATGAGGAAGGGTCACAGACAGCTGAGGAGCATAAAATGTGAGGGAATTCTTGAAGGTGGACTTCCATCCTCACTCAGAAAGAAATGGTGTTGGATCAGCAAATGAATCCAGAACAACTCACCGGCGATGATTCCTCAGATCGACAAGGTGCAGATAATGACATGTATGTCCATAAACAGCTGTGTAAAAGTTTGTAATGGTGAATGAATGTCAGCTGTGGTGCTGCTGGAGGAATCACACCAAGTAAACACTGATTGGGTTTTTCTCTGGCATCCCTGATCGTGCCATGCCAGCTGTATGTGATGACCTCATCCATGGGACACCCAGATAAGTCAGATTTCCCCACATTGTGGCTTAACCCCCACTGTTGAGGCACAGCATCTTTTATTTATTTATATTGTTTACAGTAATAGTGGTGCTGTGTAAAGTTGGAAATGCCTCAGACTCAGAAGTGCGCCACCAGAAGATCAACGTCTCCCAGTTCATTTAATTAAACAACTGCAGCTTCACACACACAATCATTCCTCTTTGTGTTTGTGTGGCAAACATCTTCTCTTTTTTAAACCCCACTAACATTTTTGACCATCTCATTATTTACTGTATATTCCATTCAATTCCTCGTTTTGCTGCATCTAGACATCATATTTGTTCGTGCAGAGAAAAGACTCACACATGCACAACATTTTTATATCTATCAAAGTTCTGTCAGGTCATCTGGAGGGTTCTTTTTTTTTAACGTTTCGTCCTTCATCCAAAGGACTTCATCAATCCAAGGAGCCACAAACAAGCTCAGTCCCACAAGCAGCACACTCCCAAACTACTGCACTTCACCACTTACCCTTGTTGAGGGCGGATGCTTCCCTCCCACTCTCCCTACTCCACTTTGCTTTTGCTCTGTCCTTTTTGTGAAACTGCTTAAGAGCCTCTCTATATATATCTTCCGAAAGGTAATTTATCTCAACTTGCCTGGAGGCCCTGTAAATTTGATGCTCTGCCCCTCCCACCGAGGAAGTCTGAGGATCTATCAGAGGGACCCAGCTGAATAAACATTGTGTCATTTTAGGACTCTTGGTTTCTCTCTGGTGCAGTCCTAGGTCAATTTCGGCACCGTCGAGAGAGTTTAGGGAGGGAACGGACTGATTGTACCATTCTTATCAGAACTCAGTGTCTCTGGAGTGTCCTTGACATGATCACCGCTCTTGTCATCTCCCCTGCGGAATGTCTACGTCACTATGTGCCGATGCACGGGGTGTTTTTATCAATATCAGGCTCTCTCTCCTCGGCCAAGGAGTGAGAGTTGGATAGGATTATTTTTGCCTCCAAATCCTATACATGTTGTTACTTTCATCACTTTTTGTCTGTCTAAACAAATCTCACTTGTAAATGAATCTTCGTGGCTCAATGTGATTTATCTGTGTAAATAAAGGATGAATGAAAAACTGGGGTGAGCTTTGATGGGAGTGAGCTGCTTGTGGGACTGAGTTTGTTTGTGGCTCCTTAGATTGATGAAGTCCATTGGATGAATGGTGAAACGTCTCAACAACAACAAAAAGAAACCGTCCAGATGACCTGACTGAACGTAGTTGGATTTTTTTACCTGGATTATTAAGCATGAACTTTGATTCTTTTACATCTACTTGCATATTTAAATAGAGATGTGTCAGGAGACGTGTCTGACGTGCACTCAGTTCCATGTTTATCAAGACGAATGAAGGAAAGTGAGCAGAAACATGAGTGTGCACAGTTTGATAAATCTGTATTTTTCTGTGTGCACTCACGTTTCACATTTTGTCCCAATGGCATCTTTCAGTGTAAAAGCTACTGTCATGATCAGCGGTCTCCGCCTGCCCCCC